CCGGGGCGCTCTTGCTTAACACAATTGCTCAAGGTATTGGATATTTGGACCCATATTCTAGAACGGGGTGGTAATATCGACAATATTTACCTAGATTTTGCCAAGGCTTTCGACAGTGTACCCCACGAAAGGCTGAAAATCAAACTGGAAGGGTACGGAATTCGGGGAAATGTCCGAGCGTGGATAGAAGACTTTCTACATGACCGCAAGCAGTGTGTGGTGATTAATGGCACGAAATCGTCATCTGTACCTGTAACAAGTGGGGTACCACAGGGCAGTGTATTGGGCCCGCTGTTGTTTGTTTGTTTCATAAATGACATGCCTGACGTTGTACACTCCTCCATACAAATGTTTGCCGATGATGGCAAGTTATTTCGGGAAATTAAGAACCAAGCGGACTGTGAAGAGCTGCAGAAGGACCTCTGTAGGCTCCAGGAATGGTCGAAGAAATGGCTGCTGAGATTCAATGTCACGAAGTGTAAGAGGATGCACCTGGGGCGTACCAACGGTAAGGAGGCGTATCATATGTCCCAACGGGATGAAGAAAATGCACTAGTTGAGACTGTGTGTGAGAAGGACGTAGGTGTGTATGTTGACAATGAGCTGAAGTTCTCGGGCCATTGTGAGAAGAAGGTAAATCAGGCAAATAAATTATTGGGTCTTATAAGGTCGTTCAGATATCTAGACGGTCCGTCCCTCGTGACGCTCTTCAGGAGTGAAGTGCTTCCCCATCTGGAGTACTGTCACCCCATCTGGTCCCCGAGATATGCTAGGGACTGTCAGTTGGTTGAAAATGTTCAAAGGAGGGCCACCAAACTGGTGCCTGCACTTCGGCACCTCAGCTACCCTGAGAGATTGGAGCGCCTGAACTTGCCTAGCTTATACTACAGACGGGCAAGGGGGGACCTAGTTGAGGTGTATAAGCATCTCAGGGGGCACTACTCAGTTGAGTGTCCTTACTTAGAGCTGGCGGACGCTCGCCCCACAAGGGGTCACAGCTCAAGATTGAAGAAGCCGCAAGTCCAGAAAACCGTGAGGGCAAACTTTTTCGGAGTGAGGGTTGTAAACTCTTGGAACAATCTACCAGAGAGTGTTGTGACGGCACCGAGTGTGAGCTCTTTCAAGAGAAGACTTGACCAACACTGGAGCGGGTACAGGTACATTCAGGAGCCAGTGCATGCCCAGTATTTGCCAACAGTGCGTGATAGAGACATGACCGATCGCCCGGGCGGCTGGCGAGCCGATCTTTTGGTGAAGAATATAAATGAAAAGAGACGTGACCGATCGCCCAAGCGGCTAACAAGCCGATCAGTGGCGAAGAGGATAAAACAAAAGAAAAAAAAAAAAAAAAAAAACACGTACCCTCTAGCCCTGTTCAAGGAGAGGACTGGGAGAAGCTGTTTGGTGCTGCAGACGATGGCAAGGAAAATGATTTGGATGGATTTTAATGAAAATATTCAGAAATATGGTATCGTAGTATTTATTCAAGTCAATTAGGATAGAATATTATTGTAATACAACAGTAGTGACGATGTGGAGGAGGCGGAGGGATAGAGCGGGGAGGAGGTGACTGGCGGGAGCAGGGACGAGTGGAGATGCCAGCCAGTACATTACGGGTGTATTAATTGTTTTTATAGCTATTTTTGCATTTTAATGTTAAATACTGTACATTACGTTTCAACAAAACTACCATTTATTTCTGAGAACATGGAAATGTAATATTTTTGCTGAAATGATGTACGTATTACAGTGGAAAGTGACGAAAGCAATGACTTTCGCTTTCTTTCGTTCAAAAGATGTTACCGTAATCGCTTTTCGAATGGTTTTCAGTTGTGGGATTATAAGGCTAATGATAGGATAGAATATTATTGTAATACAGTACAAGTACAACAGTTTTTTAACTGAAAACCATTCGAAAAGCGATTACGGTAAAATATTTTGAACAACGAAAGAAAGCGAAAGTCTTTCGTCATGATTTTATCCCACTTCCCACTATAATATGTACGTCATTCCAGCAAAAATATTACATTTCCATATTTATTTCCGAGAATATATTCATTCATCACAGTTAAGGTAAAATATACTTGTGATGTAATATTTTAATGAAAATCCAGTATCGTAGTTTTCTCTTGTTTCAAATTTAATTAACAAAGATTGATGTTTCAAATGTAATGAACAAAAATTTATGTCCACTATCTATAAATTATTTTTAATAAATGAATACTTTGTTTTACATCGTCCTGTGCTACTGTAGTGGATTTCTCCCCTACAAACGCTGTTTGTGCTGCCTAGCCGACCCCACCAATTCCCCAGTGTATGCCTCGTGGTCTGGGTCAACCAGTGCCGCCCGCCATACATCACGGAGCGGGGGTCAACTGCTAAGCCACGCCTACCCCCGCTATTTAAGAACCTGACCTCGTGGTGATCTCTCTCTTTCTACCTACACCAATCAGCCAGCAACACCTCCTCCGCCGCTGCCCGGCGGCCCTCGCTCCTCCTCCGCCTGCCTGGCGGTCCTCGCTCCCGCCGGCGAGCATGGCGACCCACAACCTGGTCCTCCTCTGAGCATCCTCACCAACCAGCTCTCTCTACATCACGCTTGTAACCACGCTGCCTTCCCAGCACCAAGCTGCATTGTACATCCAATACAACATGTATATAGAGAGCACATTGTGAGTTTCCTTTCTCCATTCCATTCCGAGTGTGAACCAAACAACCCATACCCCACAATTGGTGACTCCCGGAGATTCGCACTCATACAGGATGGAGGAGAAACAGATCACGCTCCCAGTCTTCAAGCAACATGGAAGACTGGCTTATCTACCCAGAAGCAGCTCTCATCGGCTCTACAGCTACTGTCTCTACACCGCAGGTTAGACACCCTAGAGCAGCTCTGCTACTCTAAGCAGACAGTCGCTCCTCTTCCGACCCCAGCACACCCGTCCTGCCTCAGACGCCGACCCCGGCCTAGCAGTAACCCCTGCCGCTCCTGACGCGGCCCCTGTTCCTGAGTGCGGACCCACACACCCCTCTTTTCTTCCTCAGGTACTACCTGCTAATGTCCTGCACCCTGCTGCTGTCGTGGACCCAGCTGCTGTCATGAGCCCTCATCCGCTTCTGCTGACGCAGCCCCTGCTCCTGACCCAGGCCCACACACCCCAGCAGGCGCATCTGACGACTCTGTACCTGCCGTGAGGGAAGAACAAAATTCATCGCCTCCACACACCCTTTTTCTCCCTCTCTTCTCCCACAGATATTGTGTATCTAGACAGTTGTATCCAGCGACCGGCTCATCCGAGCCATCGCCGTTGTCTCACATGAGGCATGCACCGCCCGTTCTGCCTCACATGTGCTAAACAACCCTGTAGACAACAAGTCTCCTACACCGCCTGGAGGGAAGGGGGAGTATTGTAGTGGATTTCTCCCCTACAAACGCTGTTTGTCGCTGCCCAGCCGACCCCACCAATTCCCCAGTGTATGCCTCGTGGCCTGGGTCAACCAGCGCCGCCATACATCACGGAGCGGGGGTCAACTGCTAAGCCACGCCTACCCCCACTATTTAAGACCTGACCTCGTGGTGATCTCTCTCTTTTTACCTACACCAACCAGCCAGCAACACCTCCTCCGCCGCTGCCCGGCGGCCCTCGCTCCCGCCGGCGAGCATGGGAACCCACAACCTGGTCCTCCTCTGAGCATCCTCACCAACCAGCTCTCTCTACATCACGCTTGTAACCACGCTGCCTTCCCAGCACCAAGCTGCATTGTACATCCAATACAACATGTATATAGAGAGCACATTGTGAGTTTCCTTTCTCCATTCCATTCTGAGTGTGAACCAAACAACCCATACCCCACACTACCATACCATGGATTTGGCTACTTTGGGCTCGCAAGAGATCTGCCCTGGCAACTGTATCGACACTCACAGCTGGTGGTGTGTTGGTGCACCGTTTCATTGTTTACTGGTAGTTACTGGTAAATATTTTTCAACCTAACGGAACTATTACCCGTTTAGAGGTCGACCCCCAATTTTTGCCAAATAATTTTGTCTTAAAAACTCGAACTACACACAGGTATATACGGTAAATAAGGACATGGGGGGCCAGGGATTTTTTTTTGGGGGGGGGCAGCAATAGTACACGGATTTTTAACATTCACGGGTATCTGCTACTTAACCCCCGCGAATGTTAAGGGCCGACTGTTAACCCCCGCGAATGTTAAGGGCCGACTGTACACATGATCCTTGATTGATGACAGGAATATCATAATAATCAACCAAAATTAAAAGCACCTTACTCACATAGTCCTTTGAGTAGTCCGGGTTTAAGCTAAAGTCGGCAACATTGTTGGGAGAACAATAATTACGAGTTCCGGAAGAGTGGCTATTGACGAGCCAGGGTCATAGGGTTAGAATCAAGCTGGGAATTTGTGGGTGATGATGGCAGAAATTTTTTTACCAAGCTTTCACCTCCCCACCCACCACGAAGCCCAACAAGGAAAAGCCATACAACAGCCCCAAGGGTATAAGTAGGCTACCACCTAATCTGATGACACCTGCAGGACCAAATGGGGTGTTGACTTTGTGGTGCCTGCTTGACTGACCCAGAACCCAGGCATGTTGACCAGCCAATTGACTTGATTGAGCCTCATGTCAAGTCTACCATCTAACCATTCACTTCCTTCCATGTGTTCTCTCAAAAACTTTAAGATATGTTTTGCTATGATGTTTCCACACAACCCAAGACCACACACATATACCACACAATTCAGTACCACATTTAAACAACCCAGAAGCAAACACCTATACCACAACCTAGAACCAAACACCTACACCACAAAATATAGAACCAAAACACTTGCAGCACACAATCCAGAACCATACACCTACAGCACACATAACCACATACTGTACCTGCATTTCATCCATCCCCAAGACTATATGACATACTTTCTACTCATTAGTAACCAAATTATTGTAAATTTTGGATAATAATACAATATTTTATTATATTTTTCAATTGTTTAATCTGTACAAACTGGATCTATTATTCACAGTGATCATGTTAATGCAACTTCTGTACAGAACATGTTATCTTAGTAGAATAAAACATTCAATCATTTACATATCTTTCTGATACTGATTCAATATATTTTAAACTGAAGTTTTAATATCAAATATCTAATAAAAGGTGTTCCCTTGATATGCACTGGTAAGTATGAGATGAACTGGACACATGATAACATAAACCACACATTGTTCACAAATATAACAACCGAGTCTCACATCAAACTCACCTGACATGCTATTGAAGGCTTGGTTCAAGAAGGATTTTAGTCAGATTTTATTCACTTTGATTTTTAATTTCTTTGCCAAGTCTTAATTATCATCCCACCAATTCAGCAAACCCATTCAGTGATAACTGCTAGTATGGAACTAATTAAAATATGTATTCAGTGAAAAGTCACAAAATTCTCCATATTCCTGAAACACGAAGAAAGAATGGTGAATTATCTGAAATGTCTGATTTTAGACCTTGATCCTCACTAAACTAAGTCCTCAAGACAATATTCAGGAAATTGCAAATCAAGGTATCTCCTCCTCCCTCCTGTGAAGCTCCTTTTACACAGTAACAAAGACTCTCCCTCTGCAAACAAACATTCATTGTTCTTGAGTTTATATACAATTAGAAGTGATAAATAGTAACTAGTTAATTTTAAAGTGAATCTATCATGACATGATAAAATAAAAATATGATTCAGTGCAGTTCATTGGTGAAGGTGATCATCCAGCAAACTCTGGTATATACATCTGTAACACCTACCTTCCACTTATATAATTTATTAAATTTATATCAACAGCAATAATATAAGAACAATATTTACAAACAAAGAACCACAGTACATTGTACACCTATTGCCGTACTTACTTATGATCTTTAGCTGTGACCTCGACCTTGATACACAGACTTCAATATGGTGTTCTGTCTTCATCCAGTAATGTCAAATGATATATTGTACTGTATATTCATGTGAATTTAAAAAACCCATCTGCTCCAGATGAGAAAAACTTTACAGACATCCAGATGACAATGCCTTACCACAATACATCCATCTTCAACCGGTGTACAAAACCAACAAATATATCAAATACTTACCTATATCCAAACACTTCTCATCTTAAAGCTAAGGTAATGGCTTTTTATGATGTCTTGCACAATCTCCAGGAGTCAGTGTAATTGTTCTAATCAGAAGGGTTACCTTAGCCTGGGGCTTAACATAACAGTAACCAGCTCTGCATACTGTATAATGAAGCATACAACACTTGGCCAACCCTACCTGGCTCTCAATATAAAAACAAAACAAAACAAAACATGAAGCAATAAAATTTAATTTCCAAAGTGCTTTAGCAAACAAACAGTTAACTTAGGGAACTGTTACATTAGCAGAATAAAAATAAGTAGGATATTTGAGACATGTTGATCTAGAAAGAATCAGTTGATTTATGACGCATGTTGCTGTTGAGTCAGCTGCCGAAGCTGTTTGAGAACAGTTTCCAGTAGTTTTTTCTTGTCACTTCTTTTCAGTATGGAGAACATCCCACGCTTTTCACCTTCTCTCAGCCTTGAAAGAAATGCTTAAATTAATACTGATTAGATTAATTCTTTCTTTATATGCAAAAAGAATAGTTAATCAATATATAAATGGTAGATGCCAAATAATGAGGGCCAATGGAAATGCTAAACCTCTACTGGCAAAAGTGGCTCTATATCTAAATTATATTATCAAGCAACACATCAAACAATCTACAATAAGAGCCTACAATAATACACTTCTACTGTACACCACAAGCCAAATAATCCCAATGAGTCTAAGGAAAGTTAGCAAGTAGAAACTGCATTTTAAGTGGACAGCATCTGCAAACATTTATGTAGGGATATCAAAACATATATTACACTTACCTACCGGGTAATCATATTCCCTACAGCATATGGAAGTACAGATATACAAAGAATGTTAATAAAGGAGGTTAAAATATTGGCTCACTACCTGGTGTACTTCTCCTCTTATTGCTCATCATAAATCTGGAGGTCACAAACCAACTTATCTATTCAGAAGGAACATCAGAGAGGAATGAAATAATTATGGAAAACTTGCATATTTTCAATGCAAAATAAGGAACACAGTAAGACTCGCTTTAATGCATGTGATGAAATAACCAGCATAGTATCACAACAAAAGGACTTTTCTAATTTCACTTACTTTTCTACAATGATGATGGCATTATGGGGGTTTACTCGGAGGTATTTGGAGTTCTCTGATCCGTAATCATGAAAATATGTAGACCAGTCTTCCGTCATAAACAGGTCCAAAAGCTGCCTTAGGTCGGAGAAGCACATCAATAGAGCACCCTCCTCAAAACCTTCTACTGGTTCAAAGGCTGCAAATTCTGGACAATGAAAATCAAAACTACAGTATGTAATAAAATGACTAGAGAGAAGTTTAAAAATTAAATAAGATTGAGTTAAAATAACTCCTAAGATTATGATGTCTTTGTTACTGGACCAACCTGAATTAGCCCAGACATCAGTTTTATGTACTACTGTATTTGTAAATCTGTCTTAGAATCATGCAAACTACTTTCACATCCAAAATTAAGGAACAGTCAATACAAAAAGAGGTTAGAATTTCAGGTAATTTCAGCCAAAACCATCTATAAACATACGTTCGCACTGTATTACATCAAGGTTGACTTGCTCTAATGCAGCCAGTGACATCTGTTTGACATCTTCACTTAACAGCATTGCCATCAGTGACTTTGCCACATGTTGACAAGCCGACATGCAAGCGGTCTGTGCCACTCGTACCTGTAAAAGGGATATAGTAACTCAAAACCCTGCTTAAGAGTGCAAGGAGTTATTAATCATATTTACATTCACCATGACTATCTCTTAGGGTTCTTTTTTTCAAGGATCGAGACCACAACTCTGAAAAGTTACAACCCAACATAAGTTGGCAACTCATACAAATGCATGCTAGCTGTCACAAGGGATAAACTGCTGCTGAGCAATCTAGCTTTTGCCAATATTAATTTAGCTGGTTGATTGCATTAAAAAGTGTAGTACCCCTAAATTCTTTGGGGTTATTGCTGAAGATCACCTAAACTGGAGCAACCATATTCAATTCATTAACAGTAAAATCAATAAACAGTACAGCATCCTGTACCATACTTGTCACTCACTCCCTCTTGCAGCAATGAAAGAAACCTATTAAGATCTTATTTACCAACACTTGATTCACTGTCATATATTATGGGGCCTCTAGCACTATGAAGACACAACCCCTGATTGCTGCCCAGAAGAAAGTTGATTGGACAATGATCTACTTGGAAAAACTGACCACACAAATGAGCAGTTGTAGATGGTAAATTTTGAAGATATCAATAATTACTGGTGTTCTCTCTTGGTTTATAAATCAGTTGATCACGTGATTTAAAATAACTATACAGTACAGTACATTGTATTTCCAGTTCCATACATACCAGATGTGTGAAGGTGTGGGTTAATATACCCCTGTTCACTCGAGGGAAAACTACACTCCTCCCGTTAATCCTCTCTTTATGTGACAACTACTGTCTAAACATAAAAAAAAACTAACAGTTACTCTTTTTTGCCTTTTTACTGCCATAAAAATAACTATAACTGATACAGTATGTTGATAAGAATTACCACTGCCAATGATTACCTATTTTATCAACATGACATGATCCTGACTGAGATCATTTTATTGTTTCACTTGAACATATCCCATTATATTGCTTTCACTGACTACCAGATTAGTGCACATCAATAAAGTTAAGATGTGTGTGACTAAAGTTGTAACCCTCTGATATATATTTACTAACACCATGTAAAATGTTGTAATCCAGATGATACTAAATGCTACAGTTTATGAAATATCCTAGAGATAAATGTGCAGTATTCATCAGGTGTCAATATAAGTGCCCTGGCATTCACTTTGCTCAACCATGTTTATATGTTGTTATTGTTCACTTTGTATCTGTATTTTGGTGGCTAAATAAACTGTTCCAATTTCAAATTGTAGCTTAAGTATATATTAGATACATTTCTATTCACATCTAAGTTATGGCACCAACTGTATAATACTAGACAGGATTTATTGTACTTATACGGCATTGGCATATTTAAATATGAACTGGAAGGTGCACTTAGATGTCTGGAAAGAAACCTGAATCTGGTTCATGTTTCAGCCTCATACACAACACAGGGTAATTTTTCAACTGGGCCAGTTCTATGGGCTCCAATCCTAATGGTTAGGTTATGTAACATTAGGTTGGGGCCCAGTATGATCAGGGTTCCTCCGACCTGCAACCAACAATACCATCCCTCCCTTTGGGTAAACTCAGTCGTCTTCCTCCTGTAAACTTTTATACATTATGTATATTTCTTCTTATAATTATGTCTCTTTAGTGTCATTATTATAATATGCTTATATCCAGCACACCAACAAAATTCTTCTCCATCTCCAACATTTATCTACACTGCTTTTCTTCAAATGTATTTTATTATCCCTTCCTCCTACCGCATTCACATTATCTTAACCTTGCCCTTCCATATCGCATTACTAACTGATAATTTTTCAGTACAGTATTAATTTTTCTTACTTTCATAATTTTTCCTGCTATAATGGCAGTGACCAGAACCAAACAAACAAAACTCTTCCTTTATTCTTTGTCCTTCATTCATTCAGTCAAGCTTAACACTGTTGCCTCACCCAACTCTGTACTGTACAGTAATATCCATCAGCTCATTTTCATCCCTAATATATGATATAATGTCCTGTATAATAAATCATCATACACAATAATATATTAAAACTTATCGGTTCATTAGTGATGGCAGTGACTTACAGGTAAATTAGGGAAGGCAGTGACGTCCGGGTAAATTAGTGAATGCAATGACTTCCGGGTAAATTAGTGAAGATAATGACTTCCGGGTAAATTAGTGAAGGTAGTGACTTATGGGTAAATTAGTGAAGGTAGTGACTTACGGGTAAATTAGTAAAGGTAATGACTTACGGGTAAATTTGTGAAGGTAGTGACTTACGGGAAAATTAGTGAAGGCAGTGACTTACGGGTAAATTAGTGAAGGCAGTGAAAGTTGAATTAAGGAAGGCTATGAGATCAGTGACATAGGAAGATGAAGTGCCTTGAGGTTCAGCTAACATCCAGTCATAAGATGCCAAGTCCAAGAACTCGTCTATCTTGTGCCTGAGGGCGGTGTAAATCTGCTCCTCGGCTTCTCCCCGTATGTCCTTGAACATGGCCTTCCCCTGTAGTCTCCCCAGGCCAGGTTTACTGCTGTCTTCTATACTCCTGGTGGGTACAAGATGAATGAATATTTCATTAATTGTTGCTGAAATACCATAGGTGTTCTGCCATGGTGTGCCCCTTCCTCAAAAAAGCCAAGTGATATCCAACTGTCACTTCACTCACCACCAGCATCAGATAATCATAAAGTGAATAGGAACACAAACAATTTCCTTCCCAAAACTATGTAAAATGCATTACAAAGAGATAACATAAGAACTTACCCTGTTAATTTTGCAACATGGTGTTCTAGTAAGACATTAGCATGTTCAAGATGTAAGGTGTTAATGGTGATCTGTATCAACTGTAGCAAACGCAAGCCAGGCCTTTTGATCTGGGTAGCCAAGCAGCCGCTCAGAGTTCGGGTCAGCAGCAGGTTGGTTGATTTTCGAACCATATCCTCCTTCTCTGTTTGACTGAATAGTATGAAAAATATGGTGAACCATATTGTCAAAAGATTTGAGCAAGTCCAATAATGTGCCACTATAGAGTCCAAAGTGCCATTACCCTGGAGAATGAATGAGGAAATTCTAACTGTGGAATTCATCTGAGATCTTATTGTGATATATCAACATACTGTACAGTAATAAGTTTAGTTATAAGACATTGTTATTTGCTTGGATTATTAATGTTTGCAAATCCTCCACATGGAAGGAAGAATGTATAGATGAACAGATGGAAAGGGCCACATGATAATTATTTGCAGCAATTCAACCTTATTTTGTAATACATAATTATAAAATATTACACATTTTGCATTTTATATAATATTCATATTTAAGAATAGGTAATACATACTGTGTCAAGGAGTCACTTAGTAGTACTGCAATACAAATATTTATTTTAATGTTTCAGTAACTCAACAAATCCCTCACCTTAAATTCAAATCTTCTGAAAACTCTAGGCAGGCTTCAATATAACTCTTGACCTCCCTGTAAACCTTTGGAACCATTAGACTAAAAGGGAAGCGCTTAGGGAAGGGTGCCTGCTCCAGTGCAGGCTCATGGTACGGGAAGACCTCAATGATATTGTTGTACTCTTCCAAGGCATCAACTTGAATAGGATGGTAATTATCTTTTTCAAATATGTCTCTAAACACCTGAAAGGTACAGTTCTTATATAAATACAATCAATAATATCTTAAAAATTTCAGCTATTTGAATTACATGGGTGTACAGAGAAAATGAAGCAGGTGCTGGGTAAAGGGAAATAGACTCTTGAGGGAACTCAAGAGGTGTAAGTATAAAGAGAGTAGAACTATAAAGAAAATACAAAACAGTGATCTCCCCATTAGGTGGAAAAGTTCCGGGAATAATTTGGTTACAATACAAAATATCCTGTACTGTACACTGTAACACTTGTCATCAAGTAATGAGTACAGTGATCCATTTACTGTAATTAAATTTTGGGAGCATACACTTCAAAATAGAAGACTGACCACAAAAAAAAAAAAAAAATGGGGAGTAAATTGGGAAACCATAAAACAACAAAAGTAAAGTATAGAATCACGATATATCAATGGTCTACTGTATATCAAGAGGGTTATTACCAACACCTTAACCTAAAAATATGTGGATTTCATTAAAAGTGCAACATGATGCAAACTTACCTGTACCCACTTCTGCATCAACACCTCATTATAGTGGTCTTTCACCTCCAGCAGTAGTTCATGGAGAGGGTTCACCGTGTACCCATAGTTCTGCCAGGACAACCAAAATGATATTAAGATATCCCACAACCTACTGTATATACTATCTCCATCCCTCTATCTACAGTACACATAAAGAATAGTAATGTTTTCAGAGGACTATCAAATTAGTATCACAGGTATGTTGATTTTTCAGATACAAAGGAGTACTAAAGAGAAAATATAACTCTTTCTTATAAAATTTCCTATGTACTGTTCTGGTATGAAGTACAGTACAGGTATTAAATCTCAAATCTGGGAGCCTTGAAAGCAAGACCTAACTGATTTTGAAGGTTTTCCAGTTCCAGGAGACTATATCAAGTTTTGCTCCACACACTCACATAAACTTTGCATGATGAAATAGAAAATATGCATAAATAAATAAAATAATTTTGAAAGAATTTGTACGATACAGTAATAATAATAATAATAATAATAATAATAATAATAATAATAATAACAATAATAATAATATTATTATTATTATTTTATTAGCACTCGAAACACTAAAAAGTCAAGGACATGAATAAAAAAGAAAAATACTGTACTACAAAAAAATCACAAAAAGTGAGTTCATAATTACATACATGTTAAATTTTAACACTTTTTAAGCCCTGTAATTCTCCATCACTGTACAGGTGCTCCTCTACTTAAGAACGTTCAACTTACAAACTTTCACAGATACAAACATCATCACTGAGGGGGGTTACCTGCCAGAACTGGTGTTTAATGTGGATGAGACTGGATTATTTTGAAGAAAATTCCAGATAGAACAAACATTACCTAAGAGGAGAAGAGTGAGCCAGGTTTTAAGGCTGTATTAAAGGGCATAGCTGTACTAAATATCCATAATCTTTTAATTTTTTTTAATATGTTTGGTATCTACAAGAGTAAAGTTAGACTTACAACAAGCCTCAGGAAGGTAACTCGTTCGTAAGTAGAGGAGTACCTGTATCCTGTTCAAGATCATAAACTAAACACACAAAATAAGTCTTAAGTTGTTTCTTAAAGGCCTACACAGAAGTCAGCTGCTTCATGGATGCAGACGACTGATTGTACAATCTGGGAGCTGTATAGAAAAAGGATCAACCAGCAAAAGAACATTCTCATATTGCTCTAAGGTTCCTCAAGGCACAATCATTTCAGAACTTGTGGTCAAAGGATTTAGTAGGTTGGACAAATACTTAAGCTCACCAAACATAAGTGACTTAAAAGTCATTAGGCAGAGTTTGAACTCTATCCTAGATTTAATTGGAAGCCAGTGCAATGTAATCAAGAATGGAGTAATGGGAGTCCTTGGTGGGAGAGCAAAAATAAGCCCAGTAACAATGCCTGAACTTTCTTCAGTAGATAATTAGGTAGGCACCCCCATAAAGAGTTACAATAGTCAGCCCAAGACAAAATTATAGAATATACTAGTGTCACAAGACACTGCCAAGCACTACTTCACAGCCTATTGATTCCGAATATAAAGTTGCAACAAATCTTAACCACTGAATTTATATGCTCTATCAATTCAATTTTAAGTCAAAGTGCACTCCAAGATTACAAACAGTTTAAAGAGCCAAAATCATCTGTGCTGTCACCCCTTTTATTTCATCTGATGCCGATAATCTCATCTTCGTCGTCATTCAGCTAAAGTTTTCTCCTAGTCATCTAAATTTTAATATCAGACATCAAGAATTTCATTATCTCCTCAATATCCTCGACATTTATAATTTTCACATAAAGCTGTGTATCAACAGCACAGAAATGGTAGGCAACACCATGAGCATCCAGCAGAGATTAAGACCACCAGTATAGACTATAAACAGAAGTGGTCCCAAAACTGATCCCTGTGGGACTGAAATGGCTCCATCACCCATCAAACATTGAGATCACTTTAACAAATAAGACTCGAGCAGTGCATCATCATGGACACCAAACGACCAAAGATCCTGCTGCTACAGATGATGATCCACTGCGTCAAATGCTGCAGAGAGATCCAGCAAAACCAGGAGGGAGGATTTTCCTGTGCAAGTATTTATTACCAAATCGTAATGAATTTTATATAAGGCAGTTTCAGTTGAATGGTGCTTCCTACAGGCATAGCACACTCTGTCATCTTTGATAAGAATGAAAGATTGGAGACCGGACTTGTGTACAAAGAGATGTATATTCCCTTTATGTGTTTGACCTTAGGACACTTCTTTGTTATTATTTTTTATCTTTATAGTACTGTACAGTAGCGTGATCCAAAAATTTAAAGTTGGAATTTTAATTTTAATTTAGACACATGTTGCCCTAATACCTTTACCCCAAACATGTCTTCAGGCAAAATTTCAGTTCCTTATCTCTATATTCAGGGGCCCCGCATTTTGTGAACAGTGAGGGTGATCTGCTCTCTGAAGAGGAAGATCTTAAGAGCATAAATGGCCTTTGCCATCCATCTGATCTTCACACCTCCTTCTCGAATTTCCCCCAAGAAGGTGTATGTCAGGACAATGAGTTCCTTGTACAGTAATCGTCCCTGAGGTGAGCTAGAATTTTTATAAGATTAAAATAACTAAACGTTTTGAGGGACCCCTAAACATCATCCAGTTTTCTTTAAATTTTATACAAAGCTTCACTAGTGTACATGAAGTGCAACAAGGGCACCATGTGTTTGCTTACATAAAACACTTTACAGTAAATAACAATCATCTCAGTAAAACAGTTGACAGCCAGACTTACATGTCTGATTTTCAACCCAAAGAGTCATTTCATATTTTTTTTATTGTTGATATAATATTCTTTTAATTACCTTGTTATACACTTGAAGACCTTCGTTGTTAAAGTGCAGTAATAACATAACAAAAACTGATTTTCGTTAAACAGTTCAGATAAGCAGTGTTACCCCCCCCCCCCGATATAGTATTTGTTTTTTTTCAGATTGGGGTCTGCCCCAATTAGTCCGATTTATCGAGGTTCTACTGTACCTACAAATGTTTAAAGGAACATGATGTCATAATGCTTACCTGTAAAGTATGGGCAAATAGCATAATAAGATTCTTAATGTTCAGCATGAGCAGAGTGTCAGTGCAGTATGAAGAATGGTTACGAATGTTGTTTACAACCTGCAATGAAGCAAAGTAATTTATAAAATATAGTATATACATTTTACAAAGATGAACTTTAGGCAATGTTCATTTTATTTATTGTACAGGGGGTCCCCGGGTTACGAACGGGTTCCATTCCTGAGTAAGTTCTTAAGTCGAATTTGTATGTAAGTCGGAACACATGTTATGTGCATACCTTACTTACAGAACAATGAATTAAAATCCCACTATATCATAGCCTAAGTCCTTATATACATCTAAAATCACTTAATTTAAGAAGAAAATTAAAGTAAAAAATATGTCATCAGGTAAATAAAATACATACAATAAATTTCAAGTTTAACCACCTTCATATCGGCATGTGTTCGTAAGACGGGGACCCCCTGTACTGCACATACTCTAATACTCAGAAATAAATAAACCTTTTAGTTCTACATACCATGTATATCTAAAACGGTTCATATACAAGAAAATATTAGTTGCTTAATGCAAACATACAGGAAATTGTATTAATAATTATCTGTAAGTTATCACGCAAAATCTTTTCATTTTTCTCCCCAAAGAAAAAAGTTAAACATAAATGACAATTTTGTATCATTAAAAGCAATGTAGTTAATATTATTACATGTGTTACCTTGTCACTAGTACCCACCTTCCCAGAAGCCATGTCCCAGACCTCATCCAGGTATGGCCTAGTGACTAAACCATTGCCTGTGTTGAGCACATGATCCTCTATCACAAAGAACCCAACAACTCCATGTAGGTACTGTCGAAAACCCTCAAGATTCTCATGCTATGGATGTAAAAAAATAAATCTTAAATATTCGAATAAAGTTATCATTGTCAACATATTTCTAACAGATAAGTATTCTGCAAAATAAATAATATCTAAAGAAATTAGAATATCCTATACTGTACAGTATAGCCCCTTGCTATTCTGTCCTGTATAGGATATTTTAATACCTTACGATATTATTACCGTATATCACGGCCTATAAGACGAAATTTGAACATTAAAAAAATCTGCCCAAAGTTAGGGGGTCGTCTAAACCACCAAGTTTAAAATTCTTACCTCTTAAATATTGTGGTTTAGTGTGTCAAGAGTGGTGATGAAAACATCGTAAGCCACTCACAAGGTCTTACCACTAATTATTTTATACTGAAACTTACGTTTGGCAAGCTGGATTCAAATTAAGATTACCGGTATATTAAAATAATAAAAATGTATTATAAACCTGTCTAACATACCGTAAAAGAGATTTATACCCCTGTAATAAACACAGCTATCATCACACACCCCTCCCCACGCCCCCCCCCATTTGCCAGTGAGGAGACAAGAAAGGGAAAGTGACCACGAGATTGGGCTATTTTTAGCCGTGGAGGTGGTCAGTAATGCATACCGGTATCGGTATATTTACTCATAATAATATTTATCTCCTATAAATAATTGATTTAAATTTTATTTTTTTACAAAGAATATTCAGTAAATGACCCTCTGAGTGCATTAATTCTTGAAACTATCGACGGTTAATTACAGACGCTCAAGTGACGTCACTAGTGTTTACACTACACCAGCTGGTAATATTTGATGCCATTACTTGAAGTGAATTGGCCTTATTTTAAGTAACTAACTTTATAGTTACAAAAATTAAAAAAAAAGATCAAAACTGAGAAATAATATACTGTATGTATGTTGTGTTGTCAAAGTAAGAGAAACAATTGAGACCCTGCAATTGTGTAAATGAGGCAGAAAGTCAGGTCAGCAACCTGGGACTTGGTCACAATTTTCGTGATGCCATATGGCAGCAGGGTCTACTATTAGACAACACATTATGCTTCCAATATCTTCCCAGGCAGTAGTACCTCCCTGTTTGGTAGCTGCCTACTACCTACACAATTTCTAGTAATATTAATTTGATACATGATAAATTAGACAAACTGAAAATAAACATCAAATTTAATTACCAACACGCTTCCCATTGGCAGCTGTAAGAGGGGGAGATGGGCTATTTTTATCCCGTCTTTGTGTCTGAAGTGGCCAGTAATACCATATATTTATTGATCATAATACGTTTCTCCTATAAATAATTAATTTAACATTTATTTTTTTACATAGAATATTCAATAAATGACTTTTAATTCTTTTAACTACCGACAGTGGTAAATTTAGCATGACAATGATGAAGAAGAAGGCAGGTCATCTGATTCGGAGTTTGATTCTTAATGATTACCATATATGTGTAAGGTGACCACGTCAGGTCATGTGTAAGGTGACCCCTTCTCTCATTTGCCTTGTCCAGTTGTTGAGTTATCACTCCATAAGCAATAGCACTCTCTCCGTGTGAACACTACGGTATATTAATACTGTATCCAGCTACCACAAAACCTCACCATGGCTCCAATTGTTAAACGCAGGAGATATGAAGCTTGTTTTAAGCTGAAAGTGATAGCATATGCCCAGTCACACAACAATTGTGCTGCTTCAAGAGAATACAGTGTAACTGAGAAGATGGTGCGGGATTGGAGATCAAAGGAACACTTACTACGAAGTATGCCCAGGAATAAATGTGCAATGAGAAGAGGCACTGCACACTGGCCGATTCTAGAGAAGCACGCAGTAGACATGGTCCATGAGCAGCGTCAAAATGGGTATATTGTATCAAGAAACATGATACGTATGTGGGCACTTAAGTGGGCTAAACAAAATCAAGAGCACAGCAAAGACTTCAAAGCCACGACTTCATGGTGTAGCCGTTTTATGGAAAGAAGCAATCTGGTACTGAGGCAGAAGACAAAAATAGCACAAAAATTACCAGCAGATCTTAACTGTAAAATTGTTAATTTCCATCGCTACATAATACAACAACGTAAGAAACATTGTTATCCATTAAGCAACATCGGGAACATGGATGAAACACCTATGAACTTCGACATGGTCGGTAATCATACTGTCGATACAAAGGGTGCAAAAACAGTGTTAGTGAAAACAACAGGACACGAAAAGACACGGTTTACAGTAGTACTTTCATGCATGGCAGACGGAACCAAGTTGAACCCAATGCTAATTCTCAAGAGGAAAACAATGCCCAAAATCAAGTTCCCGGCTGGAGTTTTTGTTCACGTCAACGAGAAAGGGTGGATGGACGAACAAGGAATAAAGTTATGGATTGATCATATATGGTGTAGGCGACCTGGTGGCTTTCGAAAACAGCGTAGCCTGTTAGTATGGGATATGTTCGCGAGTCATTTAACAGAGGGAACAAAAACCAACATGGCGAGGAACAACAGTGACATTGCAGTTATTCCTGGTGGATTAACTTCAGTTTTACAACCACTTGATGTTTGTCTAAACAAACCATTCAAGGACCGCGTTCGTGAACAATGGAACAAATGGATGAACAGCGGCAAAAAGTCTTACACGAAAGGTGGGAATATGCGTGCTCCCGAACTGGATGTACTATGTGATTTTGTTATCAAGGCATGGAATGATATTAATGTGGAGACAGTTATCAAGTCTTTTAAAAAGTGCGGAATATCTAATTCAATGGATGGCATGGAGGATGACATGTTGTGGGAGGACGAGGATGAAACAGAAGCCGAAGCCACGTCATCTGATTTGGAATTTGATCCTTATGATGAAGCAGCCATAAATGTATCTCAGGATGTACTTGAAGAACTTATGATGTCAGATGTTGATGATGTGGATTTTGAAGGTTTTTAATACATGATGACGTCAGTAATAATCATGTGCTAATAACATTTTTAACTTGTCGGGTAATTTGCTTTTAAAATATTGTGACTTAGTAAATTAAATGTGTGCATGTGTATGTATGTATACATACAGTATATATAAATATGTTTGTGTAATAAATGTATGTAGTAAGTACGTAATATTTTTTCACTCAAATCCTAATGAAACACTACTGGAGAACATTCCTTTGTCGCAAAACAGTTTATAAATTAAAGAAAATAATTACAGTGTGTTTAATATATTACAGTATATTATAAATAAATAAATAAAACAAATAATTCGGTAAATCTATTTAAAGTAAATGGAAAATAAGCAAACATGTTATTTACCAAGACCCTTCCGTCTGGCTCAGGGTGAGATGTAGGGGAGATAAAGAAGGCTATTTATAGCCCATCAGAAGTGACCAGTACCCTAATGCACCATAAATAATTCATTGAACATTCATTTTTTGTATATATATATATATATATATATATATATATATATATATATATATATATATATATATATATATATATATATATATATATATATATATATATATATATATATATATATATGTGTAATAAATGTATGTAGTAAGTACATACTGGTAACCTTTTTCACTCAAATCCTAATGAAACACCACAATTAGAATACGGTGGTTGCTGTTGAACTACATGTTGTATAAATAGTCGGAACACAGCCACACCACCGAGACGAGGGAACACTCCCACCACCGATCGTCTCGTGTGAAGCAAGCGTATAAATGAAAGAAAATACTTGCAGTGTGTTTAATATGTTACAGTATATTATAAATAAATAAATAAGTAAACAAATAAATCGGTAAATCCATTTCAAGTAAATGGAAAAATTTTACTCGATACCGACATTAGTTCCAGTTATCGGTAAATAGCAGACGCTTCAGTGACGTCACTAGTGTTTACACTACACCAGCGGGTATAATTTGATGACATTACTTGAAGTGAATTGGCCTTATTTTAAAAAATCAAGGATGGTTGGTAAAGGACTACTGAGTCCGTGGTTAAGTGTCACATTTGGGGTACTGGTCTTATACAGCAAATAGAGCTCAAAAGCTACTTTTTAAATGGAAATTTGGGGGGGGCGTCTTATGCACCCCGCCGCCTTATAGGCCGTGATATTATTAATGGGTGTATTTGTGTATGAAGGTACAGTAATGAAAAGTTTTAAGTCATGCTCTGGAACCAAACTAAGATGCTGAAGATGGAACCCATTTCAACAAGGGCTTACCATACTAAAAGGACAACTGTGATATCAGATTGTAATGAAATTCCTAAAATAAATACAACATTAAAACAAAGTGCATTTGTGCCACTTACTGGATTAGGGTTTTAGTTACTATCATACCTTGACTTATGAAGAACTTGTTTATGAAAATTCTGTTACAAGAAATTTTTTTTATCCAATGCTTTGATTTATACAAGAAAATCAAGTTTTAAAAAACAAACAAAAACAACAATAATAATACTGTACTGGTAATAAAATATTAATACAAAAATAATTGGTAATAATGAAAATACTGTAGTCCAAAATAACGCATTATTTCTATCAATATGTTTACTTATTCCACTTACTTATTTCATCATTCTCAAACACTCACAATGTTATTAATTCTAAAAATATGATACAGTACCAATGAGGACATCATCTACAATTACCACATAGCTTACTCCTGAAACTCGCATGAAGACAAACAATTCATCACACAGTAACTGAACTAGTTTCCTGATCATCCAATTTTTCTTCATCAAATCTCATGTAATACAGGTATGTGGAAAATTAAATAAAAGAAACTTATTACCTATACACATTAAATTTCATATGCAAATTATATACAAAATACTGTACTGTAGGTGTAGAACTGTAAGAGAAAGTGGGAAGTTTGGGAATGATGAAATGTTTGGAGGTGTGGATATTGCCAACAATGCAAGAGGGAAGGTGACTGAGCTCAGACACTGGCTGGGTAGCTGGCTGGCTGGTGAGACCGATTGGTAGCTGGTATATAAACATGCTGCGCCTCTTTGTGAGCTGAAATTTTCTCTCCAATGGGTTTACGTAACCACTTTTTAAACATATGAAGCCACCCAATGATGTATTAATATTTTGCTGTGGATTATTTAGTTCTTCATAGATTGTCCTTGATATACTTTTTTGTAGATTTTCCACTTCATTTATTTTTTAAAAAGTACTTTACATTTCCCTTTAGCACTGTTAAACTAAGTCCTATCACCAGGCCTGATGCTTGAACAAGCGTCGGTCATAGCTCAAGGTCTGTGACAGAAGCGTTCGCACCATGTAAACAAAGTGGGGAATCTAGGACGATGCAATAACTCCTCAGTGGTTGTGGGATTTTTTTTTATTAGACAGACTTTTCAATTCCTATGTACAGTCTCGTTCAAGATTCTTCGAACAATGCTGGAGACAGCTGGCAACTCAAGGCCGTTTGTTTACTATAGAACGTACTATAATATAATACACAACAACAAAGCCAAACCATTAATTAAGCAACGGGGAACTAAGTAACCAATCACCGATTATCCTTTACATTCATTCATAATTTTTACTACGTACTAAAGTAAACAAACGGCATTGAGTTGCCAGCTGTCCCCAGCAGTGTTCGAAGAATCTTGAACAAGACTGTACAATGGGAATCAATGTAATATAATGTAATATAATTACAGGCTGGCATGAGAGGTGGGATATTGTATGGCAATGAAACATGGGCAGTTAAAGAAGATGACATCAGTAGGCTTGAACGAGCTGAAATGAGAATTGTGAGGTGGATGTGTAAAGTGACACTGAAATGCAGGAGGGCCTGTTCAGAGCTAAGAGGGCAACTGGATATTAAGAATGCTAACAAAGTTTTGCATAAAAGCAACTACTGTTTATAATAAACACATTGTTTAAACATTTTAGCAATACATTCTGACAGGAAATATACTGTCTATACATTTGCTGGTTCATTTTCCTTTTTTTTAACTCACCATATTAGTAGGTGGTTGTAAAGCCAGTCTAGCTTGTTCTCTGCGCTGCTGACGGTAGTAAGTCTCAAACTGTTCTCTGGCACCTAACACAGTATATATATGTAGGCATCTATACACTGGGGCAAAATCAATCAAATCTTGAGCACACAATTCTTCTTCCTCGTCACTCTGGGCTTCAGACTGAGCCTCATATGTCTCACCTGAAGGACCAAAATTACCGGTAATAATTTATGTTCATACATGGTAAATGATCAACTTAAAGCACACACCTCCATACATGTCAACATTAAGATTTTTTTACCATAAAGTAAAACCTCAATAAATCGGACTTTAATATACTGCATTGGAATTTGTTTTTTTCGGACTCTACAAGGTGCTCCGGACTGTCCTCCTATTTCCAGTACATATTTTTAAAAGGCCCTGAAAAAATCGTGCTTCAGTCCGGACGGTTTGTGTGTTCATAAGTACACACTACACAGGTGTCATGCGGCACGTGCCTTCATCCGAGTCCCGTATTCATCTGCACCATCATTACACTGTTAACTTTCAGTGTGATTTGCTAAGTGAAAAGAACCATGTACAGTACCTGTATTGTTTAAGTTGTAAATAGCAAATGAATACTATCCAGTTTAAAATTTAACTACCAAACAATTAACAAACTGTTCTGTAAATGTGCCTCAAACTTAAATGTACCTGAACATCATAAATGCATTGTCTACTTCCACTATTGAGTCTACCATCTACAGCATCTAATAAAATAAATTAAAACACACTTACCAGTTTTATATATTTTGCTCTGTTTAACCTATAAACAATGACTAGAGTTTTATGTTGAGTATGTATTGTCTTTAATGGGGATACTGTACAGTGGTCTAATCATTTGATATACAGTAGGCCTAACGAGAAGGCCTAACAAGAGCTAATAAGTATGAGAGCTGAAACTTCATGTGTAAACGTGCTGGAGGTGGGGGCTAATCGTTGCCACGTTCACCAGTTTGTTTTTATTTATTCATTATTATATTCTTGTATGATCAGCTTCTTATGGTGTATGTTTCATTATAAATAATATAACATATTAAATAAAAAAAATACTATGTACAGTATATTGTACAGTAATTTGTAATTCGACTTCAGAACAAAAGGACATGCTGCATTAAAAGGTAATCTCTTCCCTGACTATTATTGATTCATTTTTATTACATTCTACTATTTTCAGCCTCTTATGGTATACGATTCATCAAAAATAATATAGTCTTCAATAACAGAAAAATATACTGTAATATATAATTTGTATTTGGACTTGAGAATGAAAGGATACATTGTATCAAAGGTGACGTCTCACTTTATCTTCTCTCCCTCCCACAACGTAGTAACCTAACAAGAAATTCATTATGAGAGAAGCCATTAATTATGATGAAATATAAAAAACAAGGTGTCAAGATTAAATTATATACTGTAGTACTTGTATATTTAATAATTTTCATTACAAAATACCGTAAGACTTGATAGAGGTTGTTTTACGAGGAATGAAGATTTGAGTTGTGACTTCCCAATGCATTATGCACCACTACAGCTTGTAGTCACAAAAAGAAGAGGAAAGGTGTTACATTAAAAGTTAAATTAGATGTGGTAAAGAGATTTGAAGGACAGCAAGCTGTAGACATAGCAAGAGCTCTTGTTCTGCAGCCTACAACTGTACAAACAATTCGTGGGAATGCAGAAAAAAATGAAATCATGTGCTTAAAAGTGTTACTCCATTATCTACTGCAAAGTTAACTCGTCACAGAAGTGGCATTATGGAAAATATGAAAAGAATGCTGAACATGTGGATTGAGGATCAACATCAACAAAATTTTCCCATGTTCGTTGCTCTCCATACAGGCGAAAGCTTTAAGTTTATTTGAAACTTTAAAATAAGAAGCTGATAGTGCTGAAAGTGAAACATGTGGCAAGTCATGGGTGGTTTGAACAATTTAAGAGGCGTTCAAACTTGCACAACATACACATTACAGGTGAATCTGCACATGCAGATAAAGAAACAGCTACTGCTTACCCAGCAGTATTGAAAAAAGTAATTGAAGATGGTGGATACAAACCACAAGTGTTCAATGTTGATGAAATAGGTCTATTTTGGAAATGAATGCCAGCCAGAACCTACATTTTAAAGGAAGAGAAATGTGCACCTGGGTTCAAGGTGACCAAAGATCGCTTGACTCTTCTGCTTGGGGGTATTGCTGAGACACCAAAGGATATGAAGGGCTACTCTAAAGTTCATCTTCCTGTTGTTTGGCACTCAAACAAAAAGGGCTGGGCCACTAGAGTAGTGTTTGAAGAGTGGTTTACTGTCAAGGAATATTGTAAGAAAAATAACCTTGAACATTGCTGTTTTTAAATAATGCTCCAGGCCACCCACTACACCTGGATGACTTGTCAGATAGCGTCCAAGTCATTTTTCTGCCTCCAGACACAACTTCCATGATTCAACCTATGGATCAGGGGGCTATATCAACCTTCAAAGCCTATTATTTGAGGCACATGTTCAAACAATTAATTGTGTTTACAGAAGGTGAAAATCGGCCCACTGTAAGGGAATTTTGGCATGTCTACCACATCAGGAAAGCTATCGACAATCTGTCTGAGGCACGACAGGAAGCAAAATCCACAAATATGAATTGTGTTTGCCGTAAAATCTGGCCAGAAAGTATTGGTGATTTCACTGGATTTCACCAGCCTATAAACAAAGTTCATGAAGAGATTGCTGGATTGGCACAGGAAGTCGGGTTAAATGAGGTAGAAGTAGACGATGTAGTGGAGTTACTTGAATCACATGGTGAAGAATTATTAAATAATGATCTAATGCAGATGGAACAACAACGAGCAGCTAAGCAGGGGGACGATGAAAGTGAAGAGGCATTACCAATACTGCACGTCCACTCACCACCTTTTCCGGTGTCAATGGTGCCTTGTCGAGTCAACTGAAGAGTATTAATCAATATTCATCTATTCTCATGCAGATTGAATAACTGTTCAATACTAAACCCCTTCAAAATCGTAGGATCTACTTATGAGGTCTCCTTCACTTTTGCAAGAAACAAAATTATCACTCGCCTGACGGACTCGTGATTCTTTAATCTGACACGCCACAAGGATTTTTCACTTGCCAAGGGCGAGTATGATTGGGCAGCCCCGGTTGGTGACACACTCCTATCCAATGCTGTACACAGAGAAGCATTAATACTACGGGTAAACACTTTACAGTACAAAGCCATCATATCAGTGAAAACAGTTATTAACAACCAGACTTATGTCTGATTTTCTGGAAACAGTCCAGATAAGCAGTATTATGTCTGGACCCCCATAGATTCGCATTTTCTGGACTAGGATTTGTCTGATTTATCGAGGTTCTACTGTAAAATAAAACTTTTATGCTGTGACTCTTCAACACAGAATATGACAAATGTCTTTCATTAATGTACACATGAATATTAACTTAAACTCAGCTTCTAGTTATCAATATTCAGTATCTCTAATCAGATTTCTTAAGGTCACCAAAAATTAGGATAACTGGCAGACAAGCACTCCTTATCATCCTTTCCCTATTGCCAGGGAAAAGCCAAAACATTAAAACTACACTCTAAATGATTCAACACAATTCAATTTTATTATAATTGTTAAAACACAGTTTAACTATAAATCTGACAAGATACATCAGCAACAACTGAAAATTTTGCAAAATTTATGAAATTCAAATATTAAAGATCTTGTCAAGTTGCATTAAGTATACCCAGTAGATGCTGTACAAAAACTTTTAGCTAGAAATCTTCAATATTGTACAGTATTAAATCTCATATTCATACATGTAAATATAATTTAAGATCCAACTTTAATAATGATCATCAGAACTATATTAAAAGTTCAGCTCTCTCTAATTTATAAAAAAAATCATACTACTTTCAAGTGCATTATTTTTACACTCTCCTCAAATCTGTATTGTAGATTGGTACTAACTGTATATATTTCTATTAGTACTGTACAGTTTACCATACTTGTATTTACAGTACTTTAGAAAGGATATACTTTTGTAGAGGGATTCTAACTTCATCCTGCCATTTTGAACAAATGTATGCACTGTAATGGTGTACAGTATTTTCATATATTAATGTATTAATGGAAAGAGTCCCAAATTTTATGCGATTAGCCATTGGTCATTAATGGATCAATTGATTTATGAAAATAATATATGGTGTGGATGGGTAACTTTATAGCCCTGGATGACATCAGCACATCTTACAGGAATGATATTAAGGCTGTCCCCTGAGTAATGTATAAATGTTGCACATCTTAGTAGCACATCCACTCCTATACTCTACTTAATGCCATGCTTTCCTTACACTGAACATTTAAAACCATCAGATAACTGACCTGTAAATGGGTTGGGTGGTAGAGGTGCGTGTCTTTCATTTCTTGTCACAGCTAGTTTGGGATCCATGTTGTACTGTAGAGCTGCATGTTTCATAGCCACCTGACCTATTCGAGCTGATACCCTGAGGGGACACATCAACACATACTTATATTCTAATGCCCCTTTGTCAGATTTATTCTTCTGTTTGGCTATAATCAACCCTACTTTTCTATGAGGTTGATCTATAGGGTACAGAAAACTCAAAGAAAGAGAAGTTATAGGGGAGAGTGATGCAAGACAAGTGTACAAAGTGTCATGAGAAAAACAAAACAAAGGTAGAAATACTTAGGGACTCAATGAGAAATGGTCCCATATCCTTGTGAACTGTAAAAGGATACTAAAAATTGAAGTTTGGGGTTGGCATACTAGATCAAATCTGACCCACCAATTAAAGGGTAAGCTGCACAAATGATAACTTTCTTCAGACATCTTCACTCAGCTTATGAACAGTAAACTGAACCGATATGAAGAGTTGAAAATCAATGTGGATGCTAAGAATTCACTCTGCATAATGTATACAGGGGGTTTCTGACTTACGAGCGAAAGCCGACACGAATGGGGTTAAAATTGAAATTTACAGTATTGTACAGTATTTACCTGATGACTTATTTTTTTACTTTCATTTACTGTATTTTGTCCTATATTTTTCTTTTCTTTTAAATTAAGTGATTTTAGATGTATATAAGGACTTAGGCTATGATATAGTGGGATTTTAAACATTGTTCTGTAAGTATGGTATGCACATAGCATGTGTTCCGACTTAAGTACAAATTCAATTTAACAACATACTCAGGAACGGAACCCGTTCGTAACTCGGGGACCCTGTGTACAAGTCCAGGTTACGAACAAATATATAGTATGTGTAGATATTTCCTCCCTTTTTTAAACTTTCTGAACCTCTTGATCCATCTCACAAAATAGAGGAACAGAAGCATTAATTGTTGATTATAGACGAATATAACACTAATACAGTACGTATTTACATCTTCTATATATATCACAATCTATTCAATCAACATTAAAAATTACTTGGTGATAAAATTTTTTGGGGATAACTGTACTGTACTGTACTGTACAGTACAGTACAGTACAGTACAGTACAGTACCAGTATTTGTAATTTTAAAAGTGCCTCTCAGTCCTAAATAAAATCCTAGCCATTATGCCCACATTTACTGTTTACATTAAATACCTTACCTTCTAATGGCTTCAAGGAAATCTTTTATATCAGACATTGATGCTTGTTTGATGTCTTCTCGTACCCTTGGTATATTGTCACGCATCTGCTGGGCAAATCGGTAACTGGCCACCCGTGGTAAATATGTGTGTTCTAACTGTTCCAGGGTCTTCAGTGCTGGGTAATACCTGTTAAGTGATCGCAAAGATAATATTCTTTTCAAAAGAAAGTGTAAATATCATTCCATTTCACAAGACTCGCATTAGCAAAACACCTTTCCATAGCTTTGTTTAATAAAGTCTTCCCAACCTAGCCCAGTAAAAGTAAAATGTTAAACTGTACAGTACAAAAAATTACATTTCAGAACATAAGAATGGAGGAAACTGCAGCGGGCCAATTGGCCCATACGGGGCAGTCCCCTTTACACCCAACCCCTATCGCTCATATATCCATCCAACCTATGTTTGAAGCTATCCAGCGCATTTGAGTTAATGATGATGTTTGGTAACTTGTTCCATTCATCCACTATTCTATTTCCAAACCAATGTTTACCTATCTTGTGCCTAAATCTGAATTTGGCTAATTTAAAACCATTGCTACGAGTTTGCTCCTGGTTGGATAGTTTGAGTACCTTTGTTATATCAACTTTGTTCAGCCCTGACTTCCATTTATACACCTCGATCATATCGCCGCTCACTCTACGTCTCTCGAGGAAGTGCAAATTAAGATGCTTTAACCTGTCTCTGTACTTAATGTTCCTAATGCCCAGGATTAGTCTGTCATTCTCCTCTGCATTCTTTCTAGGGATTCTATATCCATTCTGTAGTACGGTGACCAGAACTGAACTGCGTAATCCAAGTTAGGTCTCACAAGAGCAAAATATAGTTTTAGGATAACCTAGCTAGTCTTGTAACTAACACTCCTTTGTCTGAACCCACTTCTGTACAGTCCCTCAAAAACAAAATCTTACAAACATCAAGTGAGTATACATGTAAATACAGTGCATGCCATACCTAAACATACATTCATAAGTGTTAATGTGCATACACGCACCCACACAAAAAGTAATCTATCTAAAAATTAATACCCCTGTAGAGTATAATTAATTATACTTCAGCTATCACCTCTTCTCCTGCATCTGTTTCTGCAACTTGGAGTACATGGTTAACACCGGCAAGCATAACGTCAATGCATCTATCGCAGCACAGATGTTGGACTGGACTTTTCTCGTTTTGACAAGTTCTTCACTCTTGGTTAGTAACTTCTTGGCTGATTCCTGAGCTTCATCATCTATTCTTACAACTTCTGTCTGATGTGGAAATAAAAAATAGCAGTCATCTTTATCTTTCATTAAGAACATAATGTTAAAATTACAAGACCGAATTTTGCTTGTGCTAAATTTCTACTAAAAATATGTGCAGTACAGGTACTGTATATCATGAAAAGAATGTTTGAAATATTTACCTTACAACATACCACTATAAAAAATATAGAGGGATGAACATTAATGATGTGTTTTTCACAAATTAGCACTTATGTAAACCGGTAATTAAATAATCAGGTCCATATATCAATATTACTATGAACTCGTATTACCTTGAGTTTGTGTGCCTGTGATCTGACTTGCAAAAGTTCCCGAATAGAGTCAATGAATCCTTGGTAGTGGTGGTTACACATACGCTCAATGTCTCTGTCATGATTTCGGATCCTGGTATCCAGTCGTTCCATAAATTTGCCATGTTCATCGCCATCATATATAGTCCTGTAAAATATATAATGCACAAATATAACAATTGCAACAGCAGCAGTATTCACACAATAAATGTAAACTGTATACCCCTATGCAATGAGACAGCATTTGTAATGTCTCCATGCAGCTCTTATGGCAGGTGCAATTCTTCACACTCCTAGCTAACAGCCTTCTAACTCATGTCCTTGTATCTCCACTGAGGATCCCCTTCCCACAATACATGTTGCCCATGGCTATATCACTCAATCAAGGTGCTGTCATCAGGTCTGATGGTTGGTAATGATAGTCCACCACTCCAAATGATAAGTGACAGCATTCCATATATAGTATATTGTAGTGTACTACTGGACAGTACAGAATTGCGATTGATTAAATGAAAATTACATAATCGAGACACGCACGCATATATTGCTTAAGTAACTGATATGAATGCTGGCACCTGAGATATACAGTACTGACATCATTAACAGTATTAAACTTTAATGTTACCATTAAATCAGCAAAATACAATTAAGACAAAATTTCACATTTCCTCTCCTGATGTAATAATGTACCTGTATCTGCCTTAACTACCTGTATTCTAGCCTAAATGTAATATACACTTGAAGACCCTTTGCTCATCATCTCTAATAAGGACATGCTATAGCAAGAGTTTTTATAACTTGCTTTCTTTTTCAGACTCCTATTACAATGAGAACTAACCAGAAAGCAGAAAAACTTCCTAAAACTTAGATCAACCTATAAAGTAGAGCAAATACATACAGCACCAGTGCTTTAACCCTTTAACTGCTACCATCATCATTAGCGGTTTACCAAATTTGAGCAATCGTTATCTTAAGACAATTGGCATTTGGAGCCATGAATTTAAAGCTGTGCACCGAAAATCATACTTGGAATGGAAAGTCAATGATTGGCAGGCACTTTAGAGTGGTGAAGCCTTATATCAACTTGCTATCGTCCTCTTGGGAGGAGTTGGAATTATTTATGCCTCATCACCCTCCCCCTCCTTCTGCCCTCCGTGGCCCTTCACCCACACTTACGACGCCACAGCCTGTCACACCACCTATGAAAGGGCTTATCATCTATCTTGCACCCCAAAATCCCACTGCACCACCACAACCATGCTATTTGTCATCCCAACCACCTCTTACACCACTACAACAACCAGGGATCACCAGTTGCCAGTTACTCTCTGTCTCATTTCATAGTCCCATAAAGGTTGATTCACATTTACCATCATGTCTCCAGTCCTTCGTGGACCGTCAATCTTCCGTAAAATTTCTTACAGGTATTTCAATGGAGCTATTCACACTAATGGAAGCATCAACATTGTCACTTCACGTCTCTGTAACGTCCAATCTAGGTTTCTCTGGATGAACAGTTTGACGTGATGTGTTGGAGCCTTAAACACAGCCAATATTTCCTTCGGTGATATTGCTTTTTTACATTTAGGGTTCCTTCTGGTCAAATCCATGTGTATTTTCTTCAGCAAGATGTTGAATTTATATTTTGACATTCTCAAGTACTGTACCGGTAAAATTTTACTTCATCTTCCAGTTCCTTGTACAGAGTCAAATATCCCCCTTCTATTTTTGTGTTTCTCAAGCTTATGTGAGCCCACACTCTTCTTTTTATCACGCAATCCATTTCTCTCCTCTTTTTCATCCAGTAATAAAGCAATTGCTGTAGATTTAAAATTTCCCACCATGACTATTCATCAGGTGCACACAGACTGAAGAAAACCTTGGTCAGTGTAAATACAGGGCAATTTTGACAGAACGTTGACGGTCCGTGATGAAACGGAGACATGATGGTAAATGAGAGTCAACCTCAACTCACCATCCATGAGGAGTACAAAATTCTAATATGGTTTTTGTGGCTTATAAATTTTATATCTTCAATTTCATAAGTATTTGTTTTATTAACTTTCATATGCTATGTTTTTTCTGTTTGTACAGTACCCTTAACTTCCCAAATGGCACAGCTATTGGGTTAATATTTCAATAAACTATTAAACTGTACAGTACAGTACAGTATTCCATTTTTTTTTCAACATATACAATAAGTTGACTAACTTAGGTAACATTTTTTTATACCATTTCCCAAAAGCTGTAGGGTGCCAAACCACAGACTAAAAGGGATACCTTAACCTGAAGCTTAATGTGGCTAGTGCCCAGCTCAGCACACACCATAGCAGAATACTGTAACAACCCACCAATGTTATCTGGCCACAAGACTGAACCCAAGGTACCAATTAAGACAAAAAAAGCTTCTTATATACAGTATACATAATAAAACTAAGAATTAAAATAATTTAAGTGACATGTGACATTATAAAACAGGGACACACATTATTTCTTGATAGAGCGTTGATGTTGTAAAGATCCTCTCAAAATGGTCAAGTTCATTCGACAATTCAATGCGAGATCCCATAATTGTTAGTGATGAGGAGACTCAGAAATATAAATAAAAAGTTTTAAATTTGCGAATATTCAGTTAAACTAAAAAATTCCTCGAGTTAAATAAAGTAATGAAATTAAACATGGCCAAAAGAGTTTCTTGTCCACTTCCTTTACAGTTGTACAACCAATTATTCTTCAATTTCACTAAAATTACACTACAATTATGATATGTTTCCTCAACACTTAAAAAAGTCATGAAACTAAGTAAGGCCCAGAGTTTCCGGTCACTATCACAAGCTGTGCCCAGTGAGCTCCTGCAAACTAACACCCAGCCAAGAGTGTCGGGTGTTATGTGATAAAGTCATGGGGAACCTATAGGGGGTGTGTGTGAGTGGAGGAGGTTGCCACACACACACACATAATGTATGTTGTTACAATATTGTTCTTACATCAAGTTCTATGAAATTATGTTTGTTTTTTTCTGGTTCAAATCCCTATAATCTGGACACAATAAAGTAATAAGTCATCAAAACCCTGTTAATATGAGGTAGCTCTCAAGGTTTGTCAGTGCTGTATAGAATGTCTGGCAACTGAGGATCCCAGAATGGCTCAGCAGTGCAAAACTTGATAACTAGTGCTTTAGTACCATTCATGGGCATAGCTGTGAATATCCTGGCTCTCTCTCTCACCAAAATACAGATGTAAGATATCATCCACAGTACATAATTAAAGCTACAAAATAATACAATTTGCAAACTAAGTTCTATAATTGAAATATTGTATCTGATTTCAAAATTAAGGTAGAAAACAAAACACTGTACTGTACTATGCAAAATACAACTGTAAATCTAATTACAGTCATGGATTATCTTCTGCAACTTCTTGATGGATGAGTAAGTAAATTAGCTACTGCATGTGTAGATATGTATTAATGGTACTGTAATTTATTATGGAATTTTTATATACATTATCTAAATTCTTAAAATTTTAATCAACAGCTACCTCTATAGCAATCTAAATAGTATAATAATTGTTGTAAAGCATTAATATGAATTTCATGTAATCACGTCAAAAATTACTCCAATAACAAAGTACTGTATACCAATAAAGAATCTTATGAACTAGTACAAATCAACTAAGTATTAACCCACACAGCTGATACTTAAATCTGCTGGTATCAATAATACTGTACTGTATAAGGATACAAAGAAACTTATATTTTACACATGAAATCATAAATGAAGGAACAATTCCAACACCATGTACAGTACAGTACTAACAATGAGGTACAGTATTTCTGGTTATGTGAAGCTAATACGATGGAATTTTGAGAGCTGTGTGTACAGTATAGACATAAACATTACTCAATTTTCCATTTACAGGACACTGGACAGATCAAAAACATTATACATTACAAATCACTTATGCTTATCCTTAATGTAGTGCAGTAAATATGATCAAATGAAATAGTAGTATCCACAGTGAATTAATAAGAAGCAAAGTGAATCCCTGTGGAACTAATATCAGTAGACCCTTACCATTCACGAGGGATAGGTTCCAAGAAATGGTGCGAATTGGTAAAACTGTGAATAGCAACTTATACTACATTAGTGTACTACTGTATACCTATACCAAACAACTGACCAGCACTCATCCCCTCTTTTAACTTATCTAAAAATAAAACTTTCTTTGTCAGGGTCATCACTGACTTCTGCCTATTACATTTCACTCCACTAGCTTCACTAGCACTAACACTAGGCAGTCTTTTAAGGGCCATTTCACACAGAAACGCTTAAAGTTTTGAGAGTACAACACGAGGTGCTGCGTGGGATAACTCGTTGTGCTGCGGGAAAAAACTTGCAAGCTAGCCACCATCTGCTTACCAGTTCAGGACTTTTAAATTGTTGCTGGAACAATATCTTCATTTATAAAATATTATAAATATTATTAACCCAATCTTTGTTCATCTCAGTATTACTAGGTTGTTTGTTCAATGTCTTAAAATACATAAGCCAGTTACGGTAACCTCCATCCTCAGTTTCTTCAAATCCTCTAGTTGGGTTTTTTATTTCAAGTTTTAGTGAAACTACTGTTTATGATCTAAGGCTCTTGAGATATTGTACACAATAATGACTATTAAGTTTTCCACTTAATACCAGCAGAACAAAATTAATGTGTAATGACATTCGGCTATGATCCTAGAGCTATGGGTAAAATGCACGAAATTTATATAATAAGGTAAATGAGATACTTTGGCCATCAAATTAGCAAAGAGAGGAAAATGGCAGATATTACAAGTAAAGGGCATGATTGAAGGTAGGAGGACCAGGGGATGGCAGACTGGGATGAAAAAATTAAATTAAAAGCTGTGGTCCCCAGAGAAATACAAAATCCGGGAGGATTAGTAAAGACAAACCCCCAAATTTTTAGAGTGGAGGGCAATGGGTACCAACCCCCAGACAATACAGATGGCACTATTGACTTATCAAATAAAGAGGACACCCAGTTGTGTGCTAGTATTGCACCTATAGGCTGAAAGAACGATTTCGCTCACTGAACTAAAAAACCGATTTTTTTTCAAAATAAACAGAACTGCGAAATTTAGCTGTAGGTTAGGTTAGGTTTGTTTGGTTTGGATTAGATTAGTTTAGGCCTTAGGGTTAGGTTAGATTAGGTTTGTTTGGGTAGGGCTTGATTAGATTAAGTTAGATTAGATAAGGTTTGGTTAGGTTAGGTTGTGATAAGTTAGATTAGGTTAAGTTGTGATAAGTTAGATTAGGTTAAGTTTGAGTAAAATACGCAATTGTATATACAGTGTACAGTAATTCAAAGGAGAACTTCCCAGTGATTTCAAAAAATCAATACGTACTTGTATTATTACCTAAAAAGTCAGGAGCCTTACAATGCACCCAGTTTAGAACAATTAGCTTAATAAGTAAAGCCTACAAAGTTTTCTTCAACAATTCTAAGTAGACTAAAGTTCAGAATAGAAAGTTATCTGAAGAGAAAAATGGATTTAGAAAGGGAAAAGGAACTTGAGAAGCTATATTTGGTTAGAGAAAATTGAGTAAAAGGGCTATAGAGGTCCAAAGAAATTTGTATACAGTACTGTATCTGCTTTGTTGATTTTGAAAAAGCTTCTGATATGGTAAATCACAATAAACTTTAAGAGATCTTGGAAAAAATAGGCATTAATGAAGGAGATATTAGAATTCTAAAAACATCTTCACTGGCAATACAAGCCTGCCATGTTAGTAAATAATGAACATACTACAGTACTGTACACTAATTGGTTTACTGTTAGACAGGGAGTAAGACGAGGCTGTGTTCTATTTCCAACATTGTATAAAATATATTCAAAATTCTTAATGATAGAAGTTATAAGTGATAATGAACGACTAAAAGTTAATGGTTAGGTAATATCAAATATACGCCAGGAAAACGATTCTGCACTTATCACAGATAGAGAAGAGGCATTACAAAAACTCGTTAACAGATGTATTGGTAGTTTCCAAATTGCAAATAAATCCTAAAATGAAAATTATGGAAGGCAACAGGGAACTTAACAGTTGGAAAATTTGGTGTACTGTATTTGGGAAATAACGTTAGCTGTGATGATAGCTATACAAAAGAAACCAAAACAAGAATGGGGCAAGCAAAAACAACTTCAATTTCAGAAAAAGGATGCTGAAAGGCTGCATATGGCAAGGACTGTTGTATCGGTCAGATGTAAGGACACTCAACAGACAAGAGAATGAGGTTGGAGGCCTTTGAAATGTGGTTTTATAGGCAAATACAGTACAGGGACTAAGAATAAGCTACACTGACTTAAAACAAATGAAGACATACTAAGATTAGTAAAAACTTCAAGAGAAATACTTGAAATGTAGAGAAAAGAAAAAAGGAAATACCAAATTTTTTTTTGCTTTCTTGTTATTTTGAAAACTTCCACAACACATTATGGTCATTTTATTTCTTGCTCAGTAAGCAAATTCAATCTTTGAGCCTAACAAACACTACCACAATATAAAAATCCTACAATGTTGTACAGTACAGGGGTATACATAATATGGACAACCTTACCAAATAAAAGCATCTGCCGTAGGATCAACAACCCCTGGGAACATCATTTCTTATCAGCCTCACCAGTGACAGGGTTGAAATTCACAAACCAAACATTAATTTTTCACTAAATAAAAATTGTGGGAGATAACTTTTTCCTGTTAGATCACAATCTTAGCCACTACAGTATGTTCATGTGAGACCACAAGTACACCGCATGTGGCAGTACAGTACCCTGATTATTTGTCACCAAAACAATCTTGCTCTCCCAGGATGTACAATTGTGATAGTAACATCCTGTGTTAAATTAGAGAATCTTTTTTTTTCATAATACAGTAGCAAGTTTTATACTGTACAATACTCAAATTTCATTGAACAGTAAAAATTACCACCCAATGAATCAATACAATAATTATTTTCATAATTATTATCATTTTAAACACGAAATCATTAACATTATTTGTCTTAAAAATCTAATATAAAATTTGCCTCCAAACATGCAAGTGATGGAAAGCACAGTCAGTGAGATGGAGCCTCAAGAATCCCAAGTGAGTTTTCAATTATCTCCTATAAAGAGGAATACCTTATACAGTATTCATGTTCCATATTCACCCAAGGAATTAGAAAAAAATAGGTACTGTACAGTAAAGATAAATTTGTACATACCTATACAGGATAGTTAATAGGATGTGTACTGTAGTGGGGGCAAGATGTCAATACAATACAGTACTATACAGTCCAGTACTGCGCCAGCAGCCTACCAAAACCCAGCAGATGATCTTGAAATTGCCTGGAGGTCTAATACCAGCCAAGTGCCCAAGAAGCTGTGGATAATCTGTACTGCATGTATTTTCCAAAGAGAAAATATTTCCTGCCATCCTTTTTATAATTATTTTGGTACAAAACAAAACCAACAATGGACTGCTGATTAGTAGCTGGAACTGACAGTTGAACAGATGGAACTATTCTGCTAGTTACTAGTATCAAATGACAACAATGAAAACCAGTATCACACACAATATGTATTAAGGGAAGATCCTTTAAGTGATTACAGAAAAATAAATACAGGTACAGTCATACATTGACCCTCGTTAGTTCAATACTAAAAAATTTGATATTTCGGGATACAGCGTAATTTCATATTTTTTGTCGAGGCATATCTTGTGAATTTCAAGATTTTGGAAAAATCCAAAAATCTCAAAATAACACAAGTTATTTTCTTTATATTGTACAGTGGTATATATAATCTTGTATAATTTTAAGCTGTTTAAGGCTTCAAAATTAAAAAATACTACAAAATTCACTGATGCAAACAAAATGAGATTCTAAAAGTACAATAAGTGCATGAACCTTGGATTTGGTTGAAAAGTTATTCTAATGCGGTATCTATAATATTCTCATAAATAAAATTAATAACTCAATTCAATACAAAATTATTAAAATAAACTGTACAATACCCTGTACAGTACATTACTGTATTACCATTAAATTGCATGGTGCATCAACCAAAACATTTCATACACCTGCGCAGTACAGTTCTGTATACGGTATGTATTCTTATAAATTTCAAAGTGTTAATTCTGGAGTCCTAGATACAAAGATAATCCTCTTAATATCCATTTCTTTTATTTGGTAATTTATGAAGAAATCGCTACCACCAGGAGTTGTTCGATTTCATTGTTTTTTCCACATTATGTTCTTATCATTACCTTTTATATTAACTAATTACTCTGTATTATTATTTTTTCTTTATCTACAATCATAAATCACCTATACTGTAGTGGGCAGGTCATGAAGGACGAGGGAAATTGCGAGAAAAAACACGGTGAAAAACTGATATGACACTAAATTATATCTCTTTGTTTTGCATGCGACTAATTTATGTATTTACTGTAAATATTCCTCCGAAAAATCTGCCGAGTCAGTGCATGTTGTCAGCTGCACAGTTTGTTTACAACCGACACGCTCGGGCCGAGCGTACTCTCACGTCCACATGTAACGTAAAATTACGTCACTACGGCGCTTCAACAAAGTTGCTTTCTTTGGTACCAGATATCAAAATAAGTACTTTCTGTTGAATATGGCGGGGGGTCCGGGCTAGGAAGTTAGGTCAGGTTAGGTAGGTTTCTTTGGTTGGTTAGGTCAGGTTCTATTCGGATCTAGTAAATGTTGCCTCTTTTAAAATATTTACAACAGTGATAAGAACATGTGGCATAAATGAACAAAATCAAACAACTCCTTCTGGTGGTTGTGGAAAACATTACCTAATATTTTATCCAGAACATTATTATTCTATGTCAACACATTATCACTCACTCCATGACACTATGTACATACATATTTATTTACAGTACTGCATTCCGGTACTTAATCACTTCCTTTTGTAACCTACTTATTGACCCTAATTTTTTTTTAACAATTTGCATTATGTTCTTGGTAGAACAGTGCTATGCATGCCTCTCAATACTGTGATACAGGTTCAATACCATCTTAGGTCAGATATCTGATGGGTTTTCTTACAGTGCATTTTTTCTCAGCTGAGAAAAGATGCCCTGCTCCCTCCTCAAGAGTTACACCTGATTGGCTGTTGCAAATCTATTCGATTTCGTCCTGAAGTAATGATGTACAGTATTTCTAAACGAGTTTATTCATAATCGTTGGGATGACCATTTCCTACGAGAAAGATATTTAGCTAAATTATATAAAGATACATACATTCATTATTTCAAACAGGAGCACATATGGAAAATGTGTTAAAAAACGGTTATTTCTAAATTAAACCAAACCTAACCTTAGTTGTTAAGAAAAACAAGCAGCAGAAGCGTTGTTAGAAGACCTCACCACCTAACCTAGCCGTGAGGCTCAACCCCCCGGCATATTAAACAGAAAGAACTTACTATGTTATATGGTGTAATTTTAAGTGTTTTGTGGATGTGAGAGCAGCAACCCGATCCGTGTGGCTCATAAACATACACTGGCGACTGGAGTCGATCGTAGATGATAGGCTGTGTACCGCTGCATCACAGCGAGAAAGACAAAGTACTGTGCGCCAGACAAAGCAGTGTGTGCCTAGTCATACCAAACGAAGCAATTTCAATAAAAATGATTCATTATATCAACTCACTGATGAAAATATAATATGAATATAAACATTAAAACAAATAACGCTTTGGCTGTGAAGTCCTACATATTAGCCGTGATTTTTTACATTTTTACAAGTTAGGAAACGTTAGGCAACGTTTTCAAAGGTTTGTTTATTTTTATTTTTAGTATTTTACCCCCACATTTCCCTCTAATTCCGAACCCTGCCCTCTTTTGAACAAGTAATATTGTTGGAAATTTTATCGGTTAAAATACTTTAAAAATAACGGTAATTACCGACGACTGACTTGTGAGCAACTTTTCAAAGAAAACAATTTAAAAAATGCCGCAATTTCACTGTTTTCTTATAGTGGACATTGTTTTAGCTTGCACAAATGTGTTAAAATGTGGTTATCTTTATATTAAACCTAACCTTATTGGGTATGAAAAATAGACCTCACCAACCAAACCAAACAAACCTACCTCACCTTACCTAACTTCCTTACCGGGGAATGGAGCCCCCCAGATCCCCCGGTATATTAAACAGAAAGAACTTACTATGAAATGGTGTAATTTTATGTTTGTTGTGGATGTGAGTGCAGCCGCCTGCATCGGCGTTGATCCAATCAGGGCAGCGGAGTGTTTTGAAATACGTCATATACAACAGACTGCACACAAACACAGTTCAATGCTGTGAAAAGTACTTTCTTAGAAAGATATTTATTAATAAAAGTAGAATACAGTACTGTGTTTAATCTTGGCATTTTCGAAGCCAAGTTCATTTATAAGCACTGGAACTGTAGCAGAAGACCAGCAACAACCTTCACACACCATGCTGAAAATTAAACTGGCGTGGGAATGAGAGGAGTGTGTGGCAAAGAGTGCAGCCGCATTACCGCCGGGAAGACAAAGTAGTACGAGCCTAGGCGCCTAATTATCTACAAAACGAAGCATTTGCACAGGAATTGATTATCATATTAGAACTCAATGATGAAAATAAAGTAAGAAAATAAACAGTAAAACAAATAACTCGTCCGCGGGTCAGTCGTCAATATTAACCAAAAAATATAAATTTTAAACAAATGCTATAGAAGAAAAATTTCTTAGAATTGTCTAAACTACTGATCCCAAAACTTAAAACCCTGAAATTCGCTACATGACCTAAGCGATAATAATATCCTTTTTGGTAAGATAACAGTAAACGGCAACAACAGAATTCTGGAAATTCACTACACTCAAATGATAGAAATATTTTTTCTTTGACCATTTTCTTATATTACACTTCCATCGCAAATTTATAATAAAGAAGTCACCGAATTTAAAAAAAGAGCGTAATATCAGAGCACCTGTACCAGGAATTTGCACCACGCCTTCTTCCAACAAGTTATCCTGTTCCCTCCACAATCGGAGCGAGAACAGAGGAACCCACGATGTATTCTGGTCCTTGACTCGGAGTAAGGTAAGAAATACTGTAACGGCTACTTATATTCTTGTGGAGGCTGAACACGCGACTCTGGGGTTATTACATAGTGGATGGGGGTCTGAGAGCTTTGGCTAGAGCCACCGGGGGGCGGAGGCTCAGCTAGGGGGTTAGGTAAGGTTTAGTTTGGTTATATTGCATAAGTTAGCAAGCACAGAGCACCGGGAATTCAGAACATGCAATCGATAGACCTATTATTTCTACTATTTTTTTCGTAAATAACAGTATTTCTGTTGTGTAATGTGTTCTTCTGACGTTTTCTTGTCACACCCAGAACCCCGAATTCCCACGCTTTCCCCCATTATTGTTGGGGGGGGGGGGGCTAAATCCAAAACAAGTGGATTCCGATAAAAACTTATGTCAGATTTGAACCAATCGCATCAAAAGCCATCAGAAAGTTCTTTTTTTTTTTTAAATCAGATTCTTTGGTTGCTGTAATCTTCAATTTGACCCCTATTCCAGTCAGCGGAAGAAAATCGAGTTAATATTATTTCCGACAGAAACTCTATAGAAGACAAATGTTTTAGAATTGTCTAAACTACTGATTCCAAAACTTAAAAAACTAAAATTCGCTACATGACCGAAACGGCAAAACCCTATTCTATACTAGAACTGCAATACTTTGGTGTTTATATAAGTAAAGATCCTCAATTCCACTCACCGGAAGAAAACTGA